AAACATCTTGCATATGTCTTATATTTGCATATAGAGTGAGTAAAATTTCAATTCTATCAGAGGGAAATAGGATGTGTTCAGAACTCTTCCTCATTAAAAGAGCTCAATTTCCCCCTTAATCTTCTATTGCTATTCATTTCTGTTAACTAAATGCTCTGTTCCCGTGTGTGGCTCAAACATTGTAAAATGCTGAGGGTGTAAGTTCCTCACAAAAGGCAGTGTAGTGTTTTGTATAAGGCATTTCAAGAGATTAGGGCAAAACATTCTAATAGCATCCGTAACAGCTAGTATTTATAATGTGAAGGGCAGTTTCTTTGACACTCATTATTTCACTTATAGTATTTTTTGGAAATAACATGCTAATGCCAGTAATGTGCACGTGCACATAACTTGAGTGGCACACAAACCCATGTAATGTGCATGCTATTTGCATACAAATATGGTAATCCTGATGATAACCCATAAACTCACTACCATCGAGGTAATTCTGATTCACAGTGATCCCATGGGGCGGGGTAGAATGTGCCTTTGAATTTTGAGGATGTAAATCTTGTGGAAGCAGAAAGCCCTCATCTCTCTTCTGCTGGGGCTGCTGGTGGTTTCAAACTGCTGACCTCATAGTTAGCAACCCAACATGTAACCTACAATGCCACCAGAACTCCTGCATCACCCAGAAACCCCAACCAAACTCCCTGCCACTGAATCGATTCGGGGTCATAGCAAACTGCCCTGTGGTTTCTGCGATTGTACCTCTTAGAGCAGCAGTTCTCAAACCTGTGGCTCACGACCCCTTTGGGGGTCAAACGACCCTTTAACAGGGGTCACCTGATTCATAACAGTAGCAAAATGATAGTGATGAAGTAGCAACGAAAATAATTTTAGGGATGGGGTCACCACCACACGAGGAACTGTATGAAAGGGTAAGGTGTTAGGTAAGTGGAGAACCACTGTCTTGGGAATTAAAAACCTCATCTTTCTCCCAAGGAGCAGCTGGTGGTTTCCAACTGCTGACTTGGCAGATCACAGCCCAACTCGGAACCACTGTGCCACCAGGGCTCCTTCCTAGCCCACACAGCAGCTATGGTTCCACTTCATTTTATCGTTTAAGAAATTGAGGTTCAAATGTGTCTATTCACTCGCCCAAGATCCCCCAGCTGGTTGTGCAAGCGTCGGCCTTGGGCCAGTCCTCCACAGCCTTAACGTTTTCTCTCTAGGAGAGTGCAGGCACCAGGAAGGAGTGACCATTTCCAGATAGGGTTACCCATCTCCACCTGGTGTATTGATAGGAAAAGCCAGAGACTTTGAAAGTGGTTGTTGTTTTTTTTTTTTTCAACCAAGCCAAAAGACAAGGAACGGAAACCGTGGAGTTTGATAGCTTGGGCCCCAAACACTCCTAATCTAACCCAGAGACTCCCACCCTGGAAGATTGCAGCAAATGGAGAAATTTCCCTATTTTTTTCAGAACAAACTTTGATACAGCAGGCAAAACAATGCGGAACACGCAAAACTGCCTCGCTCTCCAGCTGAGCTGTATTTCCACTCAGGGTGAGTTTCAGCCTAAATGAGGTTCATTAGCATATAACTGGGCCACAAATATGTTTATGAGGGTCATGGATCTTCCGTTCAGAATTTGGCTGCTAGCACACTGGTTTTACATTTTGCCACATAGATTTAATTCTCTTTAGTGGAAGCAAACCACATTAGGAAGTCATTTCCTTCCTTGCCACGGCAGATATGACGCGATTGCTACAGGCGAGTCCCTCAGGACTGCTATTCTTCTACTCAAGAACTAATTTTCATTTTGAAACTCGTTTTAGGCCTGTCATAAATCTATCTTGCAACAATTCAATAGGATGACAAAGAAGGATGCAAAGCCCAGGAAATACAGCCTTCCCACTTCTGGCGCTGCCTTCGAAAGGCACAGAAATCAAGCAATAAGTGGCTTTATCAACCCAGATCACATTAGACCAATCTAAATAATTTAGCGCTTCCAAACATTAATGCCTTCCTAGTTATTCGGCGACCGTCTGTTATTGTCATATGCCTCACAGATGGCAACATTGTGCCAACGCTCAGAGGTTGTTTACCAGAAAGAGGAAATAAATAAAACAAAAACTAATCATAGTTACAGAGCTCTGGCATATATGGTCTGGTTTTGTTTAAACTTAGAAGGGGTCCCTCCTAAAAGTGAGTGTGAAGCTCTTGCTAGAACTGTGGTCCTCCAGCTGACTCAACCCACTGGAATCCATGGGAAGCTTTAAAACAATACCTGTGCCTGGGACCCACCCTGGTAACTCTGATTTCATTGGGCTGAGGGCCTCCTGCATTTGGGCATTAAAAAAACCCTAACTTTTCAGGTGCAGTCACTGTAGAGAAGCAATGGGTTTGAGGAAAGTGAATGGTAGCTGATGTGCACAGATAGAAGTGCCCCCCCAACCTCCCCTGTCCCCCTCCCCTCCCACAGAACTAGCACTTTCCCTTCTGAGCCCATGGTTTGCAACCCTATCCTTGTCTCCAAGCTGACCTATCAAGCCCGGCTGGAGAACTGCTTTTCTTCTGGTTAAGTGGCTGTTTGGGCATCAAGGTTTGGCAGAGCAGCCCTGGGGTGCTGATGGAGCACAGGGGCCTCGTCATGCAGTTTTCATCTCTGTAGGAAGTGGGAGCTCGGGAGAAGCCCTGGTGGGCAAGGCAGCTAGCTGTGTGTCTTAGAAGACCCAACAGTTGACTTGGAAATGGAGAACCCAGGCCTCCGAGGCAACCCAAGAACCTCGTGGGCCCGGCAGTTGTCCTGGCTACAAAGAGAAGCCTCAGGGTCGTGGAACTGTGGCTTTCACAAAGGGCACTGCTATTTTGCCTCGGGGAAGCATTAAAGGGAGGAGATTTTGTCCAGATAAGCTGTCCAGATTCATTCCCTCAAACTGCCCATAGGGAACGGCCGTGACCATTTATTAACAAAGAGGTACTTATTCTCTTCCTGCAAATAATGCTTCCTGTCCAATAATACTGAAGCCTCGTCTTCTTCATATACTTTAGTTTCTTGGATTATTTGCTCAGCATAAATACTCCAATTCCCACTTTTCCTGATTTTAAATCCACAACACCTGTGTTCTTTTCAGACAATGGCTACTTTGTCTATGCGTAGATTCCACAGGAGCAGAATCAAGTTTTCTAGAATTTTAATTCTTCTCAATGTTAACAGGCCGGATGCACAGGATACCACCTTACTTGCTCAAAGGAAAGAGGATTTAAAGTACTCACTAATGAATAGCTTGCACCTCAACAAAAATAAGACAAAAATCCCCATAACTAGATTAATAAACCTTATCATGATAGATGGAGAA